TAGACAGTGTGTGTCCTGCTGAGTTCACACTGTGAAATTGCTTGGGCATTTGCTTCCCATCTCTCTTCTCACTGTATCTCTGACGTCTACAGAAAGTAGCTCTGAAGGAGGCTGGGAATGTGGCTCAAAGGTAGAGTGCTTGCCTAGCATGCTTCAGGCCCTGGGTTCAATCCCCAGTACAAGAGAAAAAGGAAGGGAGGGAAGGAAGAAAAAAAAGAAAGCGCTACCTGCTATAATGGCTATAGACCCACACATCTGTAATCTCAGCTACTCAGGAGATAAAGACAGGAGGATCCTCACTCAGTTGAGGCCAGCCTGGGCAAAGTTAGTGCAAGACCCTCTCTGAAAAACAAACCAAAAAGCAAAAAGGACTGGAGTATGGTTCAAGTGGTAGAGTGGTAGAGAACTTTCCTAGCAAGTTCTATCCAGAGGTCTATAAACAGCAAAATATAAACTTTTAAAAAGAAGCATCTCTGAGGGTACCCATGTGTGTGCTGGTGTGTATTATTTCTACCAGCCTCAGCTTCCCCCATGTATAAATGGGGTGCCCTCCTTTGCAGGGCTGTTGTGGCAAAGCAGACTTGACATGCACCCAGGTCCACCTTGGCAAAGGCCAGGGCGCCCATCTTAAGCTGATCAAGACCTTCCACACATGGCACCCACACGTCTTTCCCTCACTGGCCTCAGAAGGGCATTTGATACAGAAAGTCTTGAGGGCCTGTCCCTGGTCCCAAGGATACCACAGGTTATAGGGTCCTAGATCACTAACACTGGAGAACCACCACCTTCAGCTGCCATAGCATACACAAGACTTGACAGCACCAGTGGGGTCCATGTGTAGGCCATGACCAAGGAACAGGACAAATGAGACTGGTCCTAGATGGCTAGACCAGGAGACATAACTGAACCACTGGGCCATACTGCTAAGTGAGAGGGCAGGAGGACCAGTTTTCAATTTCTGTGGTTTCAACACAGTCCTTCACCTCCTCAGCTCAGTGCCAGAGCCCAGCCCTCCAGCCTAGCTCAGAACCTGCCACCGACTCCCCTTCCTGCACGTCAGGATGTGTCTGGAAGAAGTGGGACACACCTTGGCAGCCTACAAGAGCAGTGTCTCTGCTGCCAACTACTGATCCCGACCCACCCTCCTGAAGGGAAGTCCAAGTGTTTCAGTGTCCCAGTGCTGGAATGCCAGCCAAGTGGTTTCTGAGGGGATTTTAGATGAAAGGTGTATGGAGTTTTCATGGTGCTAATAAGGGAGAGTCTTACACACACAAAAATCTCTTTTTCTGATTTCTCTTTTAAAAAAATAAATCTGAGGATCTGGCCATAAAAGGCCTGCATGCTTACATCTAGAATTAGCTGGACCTGGCGGGGGGCGGGGGGGGGCAGGCAGGACACCTCTTTCTTAGGCAAAGCCCACACTCCAGCCCATTCCCTGAGAAGGTCACTTTGAAGGAAGTCTGTGCACCTGCAGAAGCAACCTCCTCCGGCAACATCAGTAGCTGGCTGAGATCTGGCCACTCATTGGTTGGCAGTGATGAGCGGAATTTGCAGTGCTACCTGGGTGACTTCCTGTCTGTGACTCTTGCCTTTTTTTCTGGGAAAGTCCCCATTAGCAGTTTGATGGGGCACATATTGAAAATATACCTATGAAAACATTAGACTGCAACTTTGTGATATAATAATACTTTTGTTTATTTGCTAATTCATTAAATGGTAGCCTCTACCTTCTAAACTAAAAATAGTAGGAATATACACAATATTTCAAGATATCTGCAACCATTTTAAGGTGGTATGAAAATAGTTGTGACATTTAATGACAGTCACAGGTACTACTAATACTTTGGTTTGTGAGCTACATTCATAATTGAAGGAAATGATAAATTTTCATTAACAGCTAGCAGAAATAAAAATGTAAGCTGGGCACATATATAATCCTAGCTACCTGGAAAGATGAGATTAGTAGGCTCACAGTTCAAGGACAGCCCAGGCAAATAGTTCACAAGACCCCCATCTCCAAAATAATCAGAGTGAAATGGACGGAAGGCCTGCTTTGTAATCCTGAAGCCCTGAGTTCAAATCTGAGCGCCACCAAAATAAATAAATAAAAATAAAGATGTAATTTCTCAGATCCCCAAATTAAGAATCCCCATCCCAGTATCACCAAAGAGAGCACATTGACCTTGCTACTCGACTTATAAGTTACACTTGAGACCTGAGGGTGGCCCCAGGTAGAAGAGTTAAACTTACATTTCTTGAAGTCAATAGATGGGAAAAAATGGCATGAAACCCAAAAGACATGAACAAAAAAAAATGTCAGGATTACATAAAAATTTATAACGTGTGTGATGAAAAACCTAATAAATGAGGCTAAAAAACAATGAGCAGACTGAAAAAATTGCAACATAATAATAAAGTATTAGTGTTCTTAGCATAATAAAAAAATTAGACAAGCAGCCTAACAGAAGAGTGGACAAAAGATATTACATAATTCATAGAATAAGAAAATATATATATATATATTCTGCCAACTGAACATGTGTAACCCTCAACTTCTCCAAAATGAACATGAAAATTCCACTATCCAATTCACCCCCACGTTTGCAATTCTTCTTTTCTACCATGCAAACTGCATTCTTTACATAACACATTTTTCACTTCTTTCCCATATTTTATTTATCAGAAACATATTTTTACTGCCAGGCAAAGTGACTATAAACATCAAACTATCACTATTGCCACATTAAATTCATGGAATCACAGCCCAGCCTTAGGAAATATGACACTCACGTTGACCTATTAGGTCTTATGGGAAGACACCGTTTATTTTTGAGGTGCAGGAACTATTTCTGATCCAGCCCCTCACAACCCCAGAGTGTGGGAATGTTAGTTGGAGAGCCGTCATTCGTGTACTTTCCACATGTGGCAATGAGAGCCAACATGTGTGACCCTGGTCCTTCCCAAGGAGTTGGATATAGTTTAATAACATCATAATTTTATATCTGGAGAAAAAAATGTAAATTTTTCCATAAAGCAAACTACCAAAAGGAAACTTCTAAAAAAAAAAAAAGGTGGGGGGCAGTCCTAGGGATTGAACTCAAGGCCTCACAGTAGCTAGGTGAACACTATACCATTTGAGTCATGCCTCGAGAACTTTTAGTTTATTCTTCAGATAGGGTCTGACACTTTTTCCCAGGCCAGCCTTGGACCTGGGTCCTCCTACCCCTGCCTCCAGAGTAACGATGATTACAGGCATGTGCCACCATGCCTGCCCTAGAAAATATTGACTGATGAGTATTTGGCAAAAAAAAAAAAATTAATTTTCATACCTCCTGAAAAGGCGACATAAATTTATTTTTATTTTTAGCAGAAAATTATATATATGGTGTCCAACATGATGTTTTCAAATAGAGGTAAATTTTTATGTGAAACTAAAAGGGACAACACTTTTAAATAGTTTGAGTTTGTAATTGGATTTTATGGTCACTGGGGTAGGGTAAATGTGTGTATTGGAAAGAGGTCATGTACGGACCCACAGACTGGGGCGGGGAGGAAGCCATCCCAGGTATAAGTGACCACTGATCAGGATATAAGTGCTGGGACCCTTGTCTGATGTATCTTTGACCCCTATGTGCTTGGCACATGGAGAGAGATCAATATTTATTGATCTGAGTACAATAATGATAATAATATTTATTGACTGAGTGCAATAATGACTGTTGCTATAGTTTGCATATGGTTTGAGGGTGCCCAACAAAGTCTCGTGGGCTGGCAGCTCAGTCTCCAGTGTAGCAATATTGAGAGGTGGGTAGAACCTTTAAGAACCTTGGGCTGGTGAAGTGACTCGAATGATAGAGCACCTGCCTGGCAAGTGCCAGGTCCTGAGTTCAAACCCCGTACTACCAAAAAAGAAAAAAGAAAAAAAAAGTGGGGTCTAGTGGAAGGTGGTTAGGTCATTAGGGGGAAGCCTGTCTCAGAAGGGATTAATACATTTCTTGTGGGACTCCATTTTCTTCTTGCAAGAGTGCCTTTTTCTTTTTCTTTCTTTCTTTTCTTTCTTTCTTTCTTTCTTTCTTCTTTCTTTCTTTCTGACAATATTGGGGTTTCAACAGAGGGCCTTGCACTTGCTAGACAGGCGTTCTACCACTTAAGCCACGTCTCCATTCCGAGAGTGAATTTTTTATAAAAAGAGGAAGTCTGGCCCCTTGAGCCTTTCAGCTTCCTGTCTCACAGGTGACCTCCTCTGAGTGTGCTCCTGCCTTTCTGATGACATCCTCCACCAGGCTGTCAACAGAGGCCAAACAGATGGCACCCCTAGATTGTGGATTTTAACCTCCAAAGCTGTGAGCTTAAAAAAACCAAACACCTTTCTTTACAAATTCCCATTTCAGTATTTCATTGTTACAACAGAAAATACAATCATCAAACTCAAGACTAGAAATCGAGTCATTTGTAGTCTCAGTCAATGTTCTAACAGTTCCTAGAATTAATTTGACAGGATTAACTAGAACAGGTAGGAAAACTGTTAGGTGCCTACGCCAACACCCAGCCTCTCTTGCAGCTATATTCTTCCCAGGGAGATGCAAAGGTAAGCGGTCGTAGTACTTGTAGGGAAGTCTTCATAATATGAAAGGGGCACAGCTTCCCTCCTCTCTCTATCCTTCTGTCTGGAATGAAGACACATTGGGCTGAAGGTCCAGTAGCCACAGGGGCCATGGGTAAGGATGCTAAGAACATCAAGCACACAGATGCAAGCCAGGCCCCTGCTGTCCACTGCTGCCTTCCTGCCCTGAGTCTCCTACCTCCAGACTTCTTTTCTTGAGTGAAATAAACACCTGTGTTTTATAGCCACGGTTCCTTGTGTGTGTCTGATAGCCAGAGAACACTAATCCTGCTGTGAGGATTAGTCCCTAGCCCCCAGAGACAGAGGACACCAAGTGGAGGTGTGGCAGTCCTGGAAGTGCACAGTTTCACACAGCAGTGACAACACAGCATTGGCTCTATTTGGCTCCTGGACTCAGCTCCCTGGTCACTGCTCTCTCTGGGCCTAGAATCAGGTCCTGGTAAGTCCTGGGACAGTGCTTTTGGTAGAGCTTTTCCACCAGAGTGTTGCTGCCTCTAACCACAGTCTTCCCTTCCTGGTTCATGTAGTTCCACAAATGGAGGGCGTAAGAGGAGTTGAAGCTCGGGTCTGTGTCCCAGACGTCATAGTAGCGCCTCCACTCTGGATAGGAGATAGGGTAAAATCTCTCGGGGTGCAGGAAGGACAAGTTGAGACACCTGAGGTCACTCAGGTCTCGGAAGTCTCCAAGTTTGCACCACACCCTCAACATCCTGGTCATCAAATTGGGACCTTGGTTGCCCCATATGTCTGAGTTATAGTGTTCCACGAAGTTTTCCATGCATCCCCACAAAAAGGGGTGATGGGGGAGGAATCCAAACACCCCATTACTGGAGTGCTGGGAAGCCTGAGCAGCCAGAAAGTTCTCCTCAGGGATGGGTCTGATGGAGATGAGGTCTGTGTCCATGTAGATACCACCGTACTTCCAGATGAGGGCCAGGCGGCATGCGTCCGAGCTGACATGGAGCCAGTATCTCTGTGTACTGCTGTTGACCTGTGGGGACAATCAGTCCAGGGAGTGACAAGAGGGAGGGGTTTCACAGCAGGAAGCCAGGCCCAAAGTAGGTGGGGAGGGTTGAAGCCAGCCAGCTTCCCAAAAAAGCTATGTGGTCCCAAGCCCTGTTTTGCAAACTTTCCAAACTTACCTCCGCACTCAAACTTTTCAAGTAAAAAGTTTACAGCAATTATTATCAATGGAAAGATTTTAGCTGTTTTTAAAGATTTCATGAAGCTGTTTTTATTTAAAAATGAAAGGCATGAAAAGATAAACAAGAGACTCAGCAGGGTTGTCACAATGAACTGTATGAGTCATTCTCTTACGTGGGTGCACGTTAACCACAAATTTGAAACTCTCAAGGAAGCATCCAAAACAAGTCCTCCAAATGCTAAAAAATGGATAAGGAAAAAATTTAGGAGCTGGGTGTCCCTGGCTCACACCTGTAGTCCTAACTACTTGGGAGGCTCGGATTGGAAGGATCTCAGTTCAAGTTTTAGGTTTAAAAAAAAAAGCAAGACCCTATCTCCAAAATAACCAGAGAAAAAGGGACTAGAGGCATGGCTTAAGTGTTAGAGCACCTTCCTTGCAAGCATGAAGCCCTAAGTTCACACCCCAGTACCACCAAAAAAACAAAAAGACTAAGAAGCTAGGAAAACACCCAATATGTATCCTAGTTGACAAATCAGCACAAGAATCATAAAAGGCAAGCATGTCTTTGCTTGTGTATCCATTGTACCAATTGCATTCATGGAGTGCCTACTTACACGCAAGCTGTTAGAGCTTACTAAGGACCCAGCAGTGAACACACAGGCAAAAATCCATGTTGGGAGGTGGTAGACAATAAACAAGTAAACACATGCTTTGTTGGGTGTTGATGAAAAGAATAAATTAAAAACTTAAAAACAGTTGAAGGAAGAAGGGAGCTATGAAAGGGGCAAGGTGAAGCACATTACTTAGGTTCTGGCAGTAACCTGAATGAAATGAGGGGGTGAAGTGTGCCATATCTAGAAAGGGGGAACAGCAAGTGCAAGGGCCCTGAGGCAGGAGCACACTGCCTATGAGGCAGAAGCAGAGTCTAGAGAGGAGAAGAACAGGAGATGAGAACAGAGAGGAGGGGTAGGAGTGGGGAAAAACACAGGTCATGTAAGCTGGGGTCAAGACCTTGAAACCACTGGAAAGTTTAGAAGAAAGGACTGATGGGGTCTGAACTCGTTTTCAAAAGGCCACCTTAATGTCTGTATGGAAAAGAATCTGGAACAGGAATGGAGAAAGACAGAAGCAACGAGGGGAGTTGGAGCCCGTTGAAATCCAGGCAAGGGATGATGGTGGCGTGGACTCAGTAATGAACTCAGCTGGTAGGGGTGAGAGACAAGGTTGGATTTTGGGTCCATGTTGCAGGTAAAACTGATCAGGCTTTGCTGCTGGGCTGGGGGCGGGGAGAGAAAGGAGTTAGCAAATGCTAAACTCTGAGCAAACAGAAAATGAATTTAAATGGAATAGAAATAACCAGGTACTGGTGACTCACGCCTGTAATCCCAGCTACTCAGGAGGCAGAGATCAGGAGGATCGCAGTTCAAAGCCAGACCAGGCAAATAGTTTGCAAAATACTATCTCAAAAAAAACCACCACAAAAAGGGCTGGTGGCATGGTTCACGTGGTAGGGCACCTGCCTAACCTGCCTAACAAGTGAGGCCCTGAGTTTGAACCCCAGTGCCACCAAATAAATAAAATTTTTTTAAAAGAATAGAAATAAATCCGTATAAATAGCAGTGTTTCCATATGGAATAAATACAGAAAATAAATTTTTCTGAATTTAAATGTTAATTAAGAAATTAAATAACTTCCCTGCTTTTAGCCAAAAGAAAGCTTTAAAATTCTGCTATAAAATCAAATGAAAGCAGGTAAAGTGAACTTTTGATAAAATCATCGCAACTTGTTAAAAATCATCGCACTGTTTACAATGGGAGGGGTTTACAAAACCTCCTCAGCAATAACAACCACCATTTATCAAGACAGGTTCCAAGTTCTTTATAACATACACAGATCCTCAAAGATAGGTGCTGTGGGCATTATTTTTCAGGTAGTTCAGAAGAGGATTTGAACCTAGGGCAACCTGGCTTCAGATATTCACTCATTCAAAAGAAATAAGGTTTGCTCCCAGCATAGTTGGTGCCCGACTGGACCTCCAGCTGTGTGGGAGGTAGAAGTAAGAGAATCGAGGTCCTAGGCTGGTCCTAGGCAAAACTGAAACCTTACCTGAAGAAGAAACTAAAGCAAAAAAGGGCTGGAGGCATGGCTCAAGTAGTGGAGTGCTCCCCTAAGCAAGCATGAGGCCCTGAGTTCAAATCCCAGTATGTCCAAAAGAGAGAGAGAAAAAGCAACAAGGTTTGGGTAAAATAAATAAGTAAATATGGTTATTTGGCAAATTGGTGGTTGATAGTGAACAGAGACAGGATATCAAAAACCTCACAGAAGCATTACAGGAGGAAGCCAGCCTTGATGGAACCATTAGACTGTCGTCAACCGAAAGCACAGGTGCTCCAGCAGTGGTGAGTATCAGAAGGACTTGGGTTCTGGCTGTTCAGAGACAGTTGCCCACTGTCCACAGTACTCATCCTGGGGCACCTTAAAGGACCACACTTGTCCAGATCAGTGTAGCAAACCCAGTGGCCACTAGCAGGTGATGGCCCAAGAGTCCTCTTAACAGGTGGTCCCCATCTGCCCCATGGTGGACCTAACTGGGGCAGGACACACTGCCATCCAGCACCGCAGGGGCATCATGGTAGGAATGCTGCAGAAACACGGTCTAGTGCGTACCCTGAAGCTTAGATAGACAGACACTTAAGGGCTCTCTATTTCAAGACCCACATTTGTTTTTTGTGTACTAGAATTTTGCACTCAAGGCCTCACACTTGTTAGGCAGGCATTCTACCACTTGAGCCATGCCCCCAGCCCTTTTGCCTTTAGTTATTTTTTCCTTTTGTTCCTAGGCTGGCCTCATACTGCAATTCTCCTATCTATGCTTGCTATGTAGCTGGGATTGCAGGTATTTTCCACCATACCTAACTTCTTTGTTGAGATGGAGTCTCTCTAACTTTTTTTTTTCCCAGTCCAGGATGGCCTCAAACCATGATCCTCTTATTTCTACCTTCCAAGTAGCTGGGATTACAGGTGTGGGCCACCGTGCCTGGCCATTCAATGCCACATTGCTCCTAAAATCTAACATAAAACTTAGGTTCAGTTCAGAGCAACCTAAGCTGTGGTCCATAGGACACTAGTTCCAAAAGATTATTTATGTGGCATACTGCAAGAGGGTTCCATGCTCAAATAAGTTTGGGAAGCGATGTGCTGAATCAGGTTAAGTTCTCTTTAGCTCCACATCATAGAGAGACCTAACTATCCTATGTGTGTGATTCGTCTGTGAGAACAGGAGGTATGTCATATCTCCCAAAATAACATGACTCGAGAGTTCTTTTTCCAAGGAACAAAACACAATTTAGGGAGTGTTAGTCTAGCACAGGCAAGGGCCTCGAGCACCCTCTAGCCAGCTAGCACTGAGAGCCACAGAGACCAAGCTGGGTGTCCCCTCCACTCCCAGCACCTGTTTCCTCGACCCCCCATATGCCCTGGGACTCCCAGGCAGTGTCACCTGCTTACCAGAAACCCTGCTGTTGGCAACTGCCAGGTCACAGTGGATGGAAACTCAGTCCATCTCTCTGCTCCATCTCGTCCTGACCAGTCCTACTGGGACATTTCTGAGGTCTTCAGGAGGAGAGATGAGCACTTTTTGGATCCAGGGGTCACTAGGACCAAGAATGAAACTGACCCTTGGGGCTGCCCTAGCCCCATCCCCTGCCTGCCTGAGCCACTAGACCCCTCCTGCTCAGATGGATGTCTTAGTACAGAAAATGTCTCCAGTGACAGGGACTTGATGCGAGCATTCCCACCACACGACAGCCCACTCAGAACCAAGGCTTAATGAGTCAGGGCAGGGCTGGAGTTTCCTCTTTTATTAAAATACTGTACTAGGCTGAACGGCAATCACCCAAAGAGCTCAGGTCCTAATTCCTGGAGTCTGCAAATATGACCTCATATGCAGAAGGGATCCACACATGTGACCAAGTTGAGGACCTCAAGATGGGGAGATTATCCTGATGAATCCTAAAAAATCTCAAATGTCACTTAAAGAGAGTGGTGGAGGGAGATTTTACACAGAGGATTTCCTAGAGTCTCTATAGGGAATGTGGTCCTGCCAACACCATGATATCAGCCCCCTGAAAATGACTTGGGACGTCTACTAGCAGAATAAATTTGTTTGAAGTCATCAAGTTTGTGATCATTTGTTACAGCAACCACAGGAAACTCATATGACAACACAATAACCTCAATTTCCATACTTGGCCCATGAGGCCTAAAATATTTGCTGGTATTTAGTCTATGATTAGAATTTAGACAGGATTTTTATATGGCAAGCAAATAGTGTTATTTTGATGTTGACATTTAATTCCTTTCTGTTTTTTTAAAATAATTTTACTTGGGGGTTGGAGGTATGGCTCAAGTGGTAGAGTGCCTGCCTAGCAAGCCCAAAGCCCTGAATTCAAATCCCAGTACCACCAAAAATGTTTTTTATCTGTAAAACTAGCATATCCCTAAATTCACTTCTAATCCAGTTATACTCAAACACCTCCCATAAGGGTGCATTATGTCATTTCTTTACATTTTTTTTCCCAATAGACGCTAGCGGTGGCTGCACAGCTGAAATCATTGTAACTATATCACAATGGAAACTGGATCTTCATTCCATATTGTTTTATAGTCATCATAAGATGTCAGTTTTAAAAAGTCATAGCTAAAAGCCTGCCTAGTAGTGTGTCAGTGGCTCATGCCTATAATCCTAGCTTCTTGGGAGGCTGAGATCAAGAGGATCACAGTTCGAGACCAGCCTGGGCAAATAGTTTTTAAGACCCCATCTCCAAAATAATCAGAGCAAAATGGACTGGAGGTGTGGCTTAAGTGATACAAAGCCCTGAATTCAATCCCCAGTCCCCCCCACCCCCCCAAAAAAAAAAACCTGCCTAACTGCCTCTGGCCATCATTGAGTGGTTATTCTGTAATTTCCTTATGCATTACCTGACTGTGTGGCCTTTGTGAAAGAAATATTACATGGACATATTATTTCCTTATTATACCATGCTTCTAAGATGAGGATTATAAAATTTCTAAGTACTCTGAGAAATTCTCAATCCTATCTTAATACAGCCTAACCTCATATAGCATCATTGCACTGATCCTTCGCGAGTTTTCTACTTCCATCACTTCATATTAAATATTACCTGGTTTGGGCCTCAGGTGCAAAAAAGGTTTAAAGATGGGTTTAAAAGTGTAATTTTTAAAAAGTGTTCCACACACCTAGGAAAGATATAAAAAATTCATTCAGTTAATGAGAAGCCTCCAACGTAACCAAGCTCTTCAAAGAAATAAGGCACAAAACAAAAGACACCAGGCTGACGGTGAGCCTATCTGCAATGTGGCCAGTTGACTTGAATCAGGACTCCACGCCATGGCACAGAGCCAGCAAGAATCCAAGGGTGTGATTGCTGGACCCATCTCTGCCCCGAGTCCTTACCCTCAGTTTACCCAATCTTTCCAGGCAGATTGGACTTATTTTCTGCATGTCCTCTCTGAGTCCCTCTCAGTGCTGGCTTTCTCAGTTCCCTGAACACTTACGTGAGTGTACCAGGAAAACAGGGGTGTATCTTCAAACAGCCTTTTCATATCCAGAGGGAGGAGGAAAACATTGCCCAGGGCTGAGAGGAGAGAGAAAGCAGGGTTGCTGGCGTTTGGGGCCGGCCGGGTGGTATTGCTGAGCCCTTTCATAAAGAAGGCCACAGGCTGCCCCGGGTAAATTTTGGCAGCAGACTCCACAGCACAGGACACCAGTGGGGGTGGCTCCACTCTCTCAGAGGTCTCTACAAACATGATGCCGTGTCCTTGGCGCAGGAGCTCTTCGGGCCCCTGTGGGGACCTGAAGGGTGGCAGGCAGGAAAAGAGGCAGTGGGGCCTCAGTGTGAGGTGGTAGAGAAAGCCACAGGCAAGCAGCAGGACCAGTGACAGGGAGATCTGGAGTTCCTTCAGCATAGCCACCGCTCTCTCCCAGCCTCCGTGTGGTCAACACAGTCATTAAAATTCACCCTCACAAGACCTAGGAGAGAGCACGTGCACAAGAAGATCGCTTATGAACGCTGGTGACAGAAATCCTAAATGAAATATGGCCAAGTCAAGTCTGGAAGTATTAAAAGAGAAAAATTCCATCATAGCTAATTAGGCCTATCTTAGAGTTAAAAATGATTCAATTGAGAGAAAAAAATGAATTCATAGAAAGATCATTAGTGAATACATTATTAAGAGAATAAAAAAGAAAAGCCATCTAATCATTTTGTCTCAATAGATGCCAAGAATGTAATAAAATTTGATGTCTATTCATAATTTTTAAGAAGTGTAAGAAAATTTTCTTAAGCTGATAAGTGATGCCTAGTGGATCATATAGCAGTCATCGTACTTCATGAGAAACCTTCAAAACATCTCATTGATATCAGAGGTATGATGTAGATATTCATCTTTGTTCTTGCTACTCATCATTGGTTCGATCACATTAACCAATGCAATGAAACCAAAGAAAAGTCTCTACTAGGAAGATTCAGAGAAGCAAAACTATACCAGTTTCAGAAAATATGACCAAAGACCTAGAAAATCCAAGACAATTTACTGAAAAACTAATTGAACTGAGGAAGAATATCAAGCAAAGATTCAAACTGAAGGTTACAGGGTTAAATAAGTTGCTAAAAAATCACACAGTTTGCAAGTAGCAGAGTTGAAACTCCAGCCTGGATCTACCCACCACCAAAGCCTGAGCTCTGAAGTACCACAGTGCCTGCATCGCTGTAAATGGTGACTCAGACTCCTTCTAACTCCAGGAGAACAGCATCTCAGTTCTTAAGAGGCCTATTTCTCTCGTTCCATTGTAATTCTTTCAGAAAAGCCAGTAAACCAAGGCTTACCTTCTAGCCAGAAACCTACAGCTAGCCAGTATTTGAGGTCTTAGAAATAGGGAGAAGTTTTTCCTGGTTTACCTTCTGATAACTCGCCACCCAATCTTCCAATTCAACAACACAAAGGTAAGTAAATAATAAGTAAAAGATTAAAGTTAAACCCAAGAAGTTCCTGGGAAGCTCCTCCCTTTAGTAAGCTCCCCCAAAAGCAGACACCTGCTGACAATCAGGGTTCGCAGGATTGCTCAGATGACTCATGCTAATTGAGCCTATATGGGGATGCATCACGGGGGTGCCAGTGGGGATCATTTCACCTGCAGGAAACTGTATCATGGCCTGATCCTTCAGCCTGCAGGTCCTGCACCTGCTCACTTTAGCTCGAATCAGATTCATGGACGGAGACTTGGGGACTATCTTGTAAATTGATTCAAACTGCCCCCCTTGCAAAGATGAGGTTTGATTAAAGGGAAAGAAAGGCCAGCACCATAAACGAGGATTAACCAAAACCCAAACGCTGTACAACGAGAATGAGTTCCCCAGTGTCTGTTACAGTGGCTGCAGGAGGATCTTTTTGCCCTGACATCACTCTTGTCTGGTAGGAGCCTCCTGTCTCCCAAAGTCAACTTGGTCACCCTCAATTAATGTGACAAACCCCACATCTCCTGAGGTACTCTGCTGTGGCCTGTTTTCCACAGCTCCCTAAAATGAGCACTTAATAATCCTCTTTGGAGCTATCCTCTGCTCAATCCAGAGCCTTCTGTTGGCCACGAACAGGTATCCACAGTTGCCCCCGGATGCAACTGTGGTATGAACAGAGAAGTCTCCTGCAGGTCCAGACACGAAGGGAGTTAAAGCTATCCCACTTGTTGATGACTCTGGTTTTCTCTGTGCCCAAGGGTCCCCAGAAATAACTCTTGGGTCTCCACATGCCTCTCCCATTTTGAGCTGGATTTCTTCTCCGGACCTCAGCAATCCTGGGCTCAGAGTGCCTTGGCGTCTTTCCAAAGTTCTCTGGGCCTTGAATAGATGGGCTGCTCTTTCCTAAAAGAGAAAGGAGAGATTACTGCTTCTGAGCCCTGGGGAGGGTTCGGGGTTAACCAGAGAGCTCTGTCTGTGGGAATGATGCCTTCCTTGTGCCCGAGTCTCAAGTGGGTCACAAGTCCTCACACATCCCAATCACATGCACAGAAATGGTTCAAGTCATTGCACAAGTGGCCGAGGTAGAAGGCGGTGAAGTAGTTCATGGTCTTTTGTCAGGCAGGGAGGGCACAATCACGAGTGGCACAGTGAGATCCTCGAGTGGCACAGTGAGATCCTGATCACGAGTAGGTCCTGCTGGCCAAGCAGAAGGTACAACAGAGTAGAAGATTTTAGAATTATACCTCCGTGTACCACACAGATGAGGGGACCAGAATAAGTCTCACCTCCCTTATGAAGTGCAGAAAATAACTGACCTCCGTCTTTTTTGTGAGGATGGAAGGCCTCTGTAAACCAAACAAGCAACTCTCACTTTCCACCAAGGAAAAGAGGAAAGAGAGTAAAATATAAGATATATATATATACATATATATATATATTATATATATATATGTATATATATATATATACATGTATATATATATATATATATATGTATATATATATATATATGTATATATATATATATATATATATATATAAAATTAGTATTTGAACTTCCTGATAAAAACATTAAGTTGTTCTATTTTCTTCAAATCAATGAAACCTATTTCCCGCTGGGTATAGTAGCTTATGTCTGTAATCTCAGCCATGTGGGAGGCATAGGCAGGAGGACGAATTTCTGATGACAGAGCAAAAGCATGAGCATGCACCCTAAAGCAAAAAAGGACTGGAGGCAGGGCTAAAGTGGTAGAGAAGCCATCTAACAAGCACAGGGCCCTGAGTTCAAATCCCAGGACTGCCAAAAGAAAGAAAGAAAAAATCTGTTTCTCAGTGAACCTTTAAGAAAAAAATCTTCAACCCTCTGTGGGAATTGATGTGTCCAGAGGGCAGGTCCCAGGTACCTGGGCCTCTTTAGGATCACAGCCTGGCACCCTCAAGTCTTCCTGGGAAGGCCTCCTGTCACATAAGCCCCTTTTTCTGGATCTTCCAAGAGCACATCCTCAGCCTTCCCTCTGGAGAGAAGAGCAGGACTTCTTTTCCTTTCTTCTGTTCTCCTTTCTGTCATACCTGGCCAGTAGGTACCACTCTAACTGTCTGGCTGTTCAGGGAGGTGCCACAGCACCAGCAATTAACTCAGATTTCACAGGTCCCTAGAGGCTGCAAGATGGGCTTCAGGAAACCTTGAGCCCTGGGACCCTACCTTGCATTCATTCTTCAGCCTGGATGCCCCTTGTCCATAGCTTCTCCTCATCGCACCTTCCCTAAGGAAGGTCACTGCCCTTTGACCGTCCTTAACACCCTCTCTTTCACCTGCTTCACTACATAATCCCAGGCCTTCTCCAACTAGCCAGGCAACCCCTAGGAACCCTACTGTCGATATTTGGGAGGTAGAAGGACATCATCGTAGAGGAATGGATAGGTCTGCATACTTGCTGATAGTCACAGAGACATCTAAGTATTACCCACTTTTTTAGACTTGCTGCTCTCTGTGAGAGGTTCTTCCTCGGTTATCACATAAACCAGACTTGGTCAATCCAACAGACTATGGAGCCTGGGTAATTTTCACTGACTTAGGAGACTTTAGGAAATAGGAATTGAAGTGGCCCCAAATAAATAACCAGGATAGGAAAAAAAAAAAATCTCTGAATCCAATGCTATTTCTGTTTTATGAAACTGTCCCTTGGATATTGGGACTAATGCAAAGAGAAGCAGACCGGAGAGGAGAAGCAGAGAACGGGAGGACAGACTTCCCATTTCTTTAGCCCTCCACACACCCTCCAGCAACACCAGCTGGAGTTGCTCAGTCCTGGGGGACTGAGCGCCACCTTCCATAAGGAGCCCCCCGTACCAGGCAGCCAGAGCAAAGGGACTCTTTAACAATCAACGTTTATGGACATGAACTGCACATGAAAAGTGTACCTCATGATTTCGTAGCTGCTTTGAAGTCAGGTTTATGGCAAGAAGGAAATGTTCAAGCTAACAATCCTTGGTCTGTTTGCTTTGGAGCCTCTAGCACCACAGTTCCGGTTTTTAACGTATTTGTTAAGTAAGTGGGACTGATAAGTGTGTTAAAACATTCAGCTGCTAACGGGGCAAAACAAATACACAAGGTGATATCTTATCCACGTTGCCAATTCCTTTTGTCACTGTCCTACAGCCAGAACAAAGACTGGAGGGGCTGGCTTTACATGAATGGTGGAGACATGGGGAGACAGAGGTGTTTCACTGCAGAGAGAAGCAATCCATGACATGGCACTTGGGAAACCCATGGGGGAAAAATAAGATAATTGATGCGCCTTGAGGAGTGACATCACTAGCATCAAATCCTGGAAAAAAATGATTGTTTACTAAAATCAGTGCCTTGGCATCAGAGTAAAATTTCCTTGTTGCACAGATAGCTTAAACTATTCTACACTTCTAATAAAATGGTCCTGGCCCTTCAGTTTCTGGCTTTGTGCTTTCCACGCAGCCATATCAGTTAAATATGCCCCTGTTTCAAAAACCTTACAGACCTACCAAGAGTGTTTCTGGGTTCGCTCTGGAAATTATTATATTCACACATGTAACTCCCCTCCCCCCACTTTTTAACGTTTACATGCAGATAAAACAGTGGGGTAAGGGTGGGGAGATAAGGTAAAATCAGTGTTCCCAATGAACCAATTATACTCCTCACACCACTTCCTAAGACTGATGGAACAGGGTCTGACGATGACGGTGGCGACTTTCTGAGAGTGGCAAGCTGTTTGAAGGGGTTTGCTGTTAAGTTCTGCAAGTCAGAGTCTAATTCTGTCTTCCTTTCATCTTAGACCTACCTATGCTAAGCGGCCACATGGCACAGGACTTTCAGAGACTGCCTGGGAGAATGAGTGCCTCTCAATATGGTTGAAAGAAACGATTATGGACTGAATATTTGTGTCCCTCTAAAATTTGCATGTTGAAGTCCTAACT